GTGAATCGATTCGTTCGATCGTTTTACCGTTAAAATTACACGGAAGAATAGAGATTCGATGGCGTTATAGCAGAAATGGTTGTAACCGCTACTTACGTACACGTACCTAATGACATTACCTACAAGGACATTGCGGTAATTGGGAGAGGGACACCGCGGTGTCTAGATGCAACCAAATGCATGCGTAATACACCCTACTGGCCGCATAAATCACTCAAATGACTATCTCGATCGGGGAAGGGACAGCGGCTAGTGGTCAATACTTGTGCAAGTCTATATTGTCTTGGTGGCTAGTATTACGATCGGAGACGATAAACGTGACATACTTTCAACGTGTGTGTATATATACAAGTTTATGAGATGATAGTTCATAACTGTAATACGTGTATTCCGTTCTTTTCAAAGCACTATGTATCGTGCAGAGCATGAGTGTAGTATGTACATGAATCCTTTGAAATCGTTCCTTTTTCGTTCTTACTGGGCGTGAACGAACGTCAATAGAGGTCTAACGAGTGAATTTTTCGATCGGATGGTATTTAATAGGAGAGCATAACGTAACCGACTATCGTAAAGACACGTGTATCTATAACGTTTCTAAATATATATTCAATGTACGATACTCTAACACGATATTTTCGTTCATGAGATAACTTTGAATTTACATAAACGCGAGAAAAAAGAAGAAAGAAAATTAGATGAGAATTGATGATGATCGATGAAAATAAACAGAGATAGAATAAGCATAATAAAATTGTCTTAATAAATCAGATAGGAAATAAATGGGTTTTTCATGCTAGAAATCGTACATCGTTTTTATAAGTTTTCAAGTCGCTTGTAAATATCTAAAAGATGTTAACGGATGCTAAACTCTCGAACATGAAACTTTTTTTGCTACAATCAACGATAAAACGCTTCGAAGATCTTCAATTTTCCTCGAAATTTTTGTTCAACTTTTGACGAAAGAGGAGGAATCATGCTTGGTAATCTGTATCGTACAGGATTATACGGTAATGCGGAAAACCAAAGCAACTGAAAACACGGCTATGAACTTAATGCTTCTACGTCTTGTTTTTCGCGGACACCAGGCCGCTCTGTAAGCCGGAGAAATGGGCTTTTGCGGTACCAAAAAAATTTCACCTTTACCGCGTATACTTGCGCGAATGTAATGGACCAAACGCGATGCTCGTCTAAATCCAAAGATATTTTTGTACCGGTACTTTTCTTTCCGGTAAATAGTAGCGGGGATTTTAAGGAAAAAATTCGAAAGGCTCCGGGAAAATCACACGTAGAAGGATTGAAAGAAAAAACTTGACTAGATGGTGCTAGGAAAATTAAAATGAGTTGCCTGGAGGATCGTGTTGCGTTGAATCTGTTATTAAGGATTCGCTCGAAAACACAAAGAAAAACAGTGTCAAGGGAATTTGTGTTGCGTGTTGCGTATATATTCGTATATATTCGTGCATTCGCGCAATTATATGGGGGAAAGATACTTGGGACTAAAGGAAAAGAGAATAAAACAACATTTTGCAGGACATCGCTCAGCGACATCATCTGTGAGAATAATTTTTGTTTCTTGTTTCTTTCTGTTTATTAACTTATCTGACCTGAAGCGTGTATTGTGGCCCGTGAGGTTGTCCATGGTGATGATGATGATGCCTCTGATAATGTTGCTGTTGGTGAGGCGGATCGTGTTGATAACACTCTTGTTGATATTGTTGCGACGGGACGGGCTTCAAGACGTGATTCGGTCTTTTCTCGGACGCGTACTGTTGGCTGTTTCTTTCCATCGTATCCACTGCTAAACGGGGATCCTCTATCATTGTGTTCGAAGCCTTCGTACTGAAACAAGCCACCGCTCTCTGATCCACTTTTACCGTATATCGTGTATAGCAATATCGTTACTTTATTCCTAGCTTTCTCGCTTTCACGCGCAATACGATTCGTTCGGGCATAGGGTATATCGTGTAGAATCGTACGAAGAGGAAGAAATTAGCGTCGATTCAGCGATACCGACAATTAAGGGAACGGAAAGGAGGGAAACAATGCGTCGAATAATTCATTAACGCGTATACGTGCTCCGTGAGGATGTGTCCCCTTGAAAAGAGTTCTCTAGGTTTTCCATGTAAATTGCTTCGACGTTTATTCGTGCAAATCACCAGAGACGCAATATCGCGTGCTTACCAATGTACTTGCTGGAGTGCAGGCACCGTATTTCTGGCCACGCAGCATCTATCCGAGCGTAGGAAACAAACGAATCCCATTACCAACACCGAGAGCACCGTAAACCCAGCGACAGCGCCGATAACGAGTGGAATCTGTAACAAATACGCGGCAGGAGGGAAAAAAAAAAAGCTTTTTACTGGAGCCAAGGGAACATTGTCTGGAACGTGCACGCGATATATATATATANTACGTGCATCGGGATATATATGCTTTCAACCGTTTTAATTTAAATACCAGCA